CTTTGCCATGCGCTCAGTCTGAAACATTTCTTTGGAACAGGGCATTTCATCAACCAAGAACACCAATCTTTGATGACTTAGTTGTGCTATGCATTGTACAAAACACTCAAAAGATAAGGACTCCACCCTGTGCACGACACAGAAAACAGCTAACACAAAGGGAAAAAATGACAACACATTGGCTACAATAAGAGGTGGTGACTCCAGCCCAAGCTGAAAAGCCATCTCTGCAGCACATTACTGCAGAGATGTGATTACAGGAAGAGGCAGGGACTCCTTAAAATGAAACATTTACGGAGTGAAGCTAGTTCAACAAAAGGGCACCAAGATGCTTGGGTGCTTGTAATACATGCCCTGCACAGGCCCTGAACCCATCTTGCTCGGCCTGGGGAAGCTTCGGGCAGCTTAAGAGTAGCTCTTCACTTTGTACACAGTGGGAAAAACAAGAGCCACTTGGCCTAAGTCAAAACAAGAGGTTCTAATTGGATATAAGGAAAAATTCTGTACCCCGCACACAGCCAAGCAGGGGAATGGGCTCTCCAGAGAGGCCTTTCAGTCTCCACTTGAAGAGGTTTTCAGGTCTCAACTGTACTGAGCAACCTGGTGTGATCTCAGAGCTAACTCTGCTTTCCCCAGAAGGTTGAGTTAGGGACCTCAGAGGGTGTCTTCAATCTGAACAGCTCCAGTTCAAAAGCATTTCATCAGCTTGCCATATTTTAGGACTCTCTTCAATCTCATGATCATCTTGCAATACTTCTGTTTCCCTCCTTTTTTTCTGCCATAGTTGTGCTTTGCTTCACATACACAGGCCTCCCATTTGAACACCAGTTAACATGGAACAGTATCTCAGCAATGCAGGCTATTGATAGAAGAGAAAAAAAAAATCATAATCTACATGGTGGTTTTCCATCACACAAGTCATGTGGCAGATGCCAGGCACCTCATTTAAACCCTTACTGGAAGGTACTTCATGGGAATGCCAGAAGCTGCATATCATAACTACAATTTCTAGAGAACAATAAGTATAAACTGCAAGGAACACTTAAGAGAACCATCATTTATTATATTTCTTCCCTGAAACTACAAAAACTATCCTCGGTACAGTCTTGTGCCAAGAAAAAAAAAAAAAAAAAAAAAAACACAGGGGAAATTTTAGAGACATCATTGAACTCTGCTTCCTGCACGCCACTCCCTTATTTCATGGCTCATCATGCAACTCTACCAATGATTTCACCTACATAGAAGGTTTTTACTACAGCAAAGGCAATTGAAACCAAAGAAGTCAATGCCATGTACTGTCTATGAAACTAAGCAGTTGTGAGCATCACCAGCAATATTATTTCCAATATCCTTACTGAAGAGTTTTTTGCTGAAAGAAGTAAATATCTATTGGGTGAGGAGAAAAGAGAGAAAGAAAAAGTAATGCACTAGACAGATAACTCATTGCAAACGCAGTGTTTCAAATTAGTGGATTTTAAATACACACATACAAACACGAAACTGCTATTTCTCTCTTTTATCGAAGTTAAGCTTGCATTTCATGGATTTGCAAAAATAAGTTAAATAACTTCATCATCATTGCACAGTGGCACCTATCATGTTCGCAGAAACATAATGAAAGAGGAGTGCGTGTGTGTATACATATATATACACACACACACACATATAGGGGTTCAGGTTTGCATCTAAAATGCCAGAACGTAGTCTTCTACGGCTGCACTTTCTTTTGCCCTCTTGTGGCTTTGTGTGTCACTATGTTATTAAAATCTGGAACCTAATTTTGCAGAAGCTGAAGAACACGCCTGCACCAGGAAACTAAATTGTTTTACAGGCACAACGCAGTTTTGATCAAGAACTCAGTTCTTAAGAGAAACAAGAGTCAAGCACGAATATGGAAGAAAATAGCAGTGTAAAAATTTATTGCTGAAGTTAATTTCAAAATGAGCTTGGAAGGGCTTTTGACTAGCTCTTTCTAAAGACACTGTTTTCCTTACCTCACTTTCAACATAGATTCTATTGCTATTGCAATGGAAACAGCCCAACTTCAAGTCTTAATTTACGCTCAAGAGCAATTTTGCTTTTAAATTCCCCTTTCCCTCTTCCCAGTGGATTTAAAGCAAAGATCAACATGAAAAGCTGAACTTCAGAGAACGGCCATTCCACTGCGAGTTCTCAGAGCAGCAGCATTACTGGCACAGGGCCAACCCCCGATGCTGCTGCATCTCACTGACTCATCGGGTACCAAAACCAGCTCGCACTCACAGACAAGACAGTTGTGTCATTCCTTGTTTTCTCCCCTCTGCTGTTTTTTCCGCTAGAACTGATACTTCTTAGGTCTGAGCAGACTTTTAACTCTGCACAGGCTAAGGTTACCATGATAATCAGTTTTGTCTTGCTGAATTTCCACCAGCTCCCCTTCCCTCCTCGTGCACTTTGGAAGATAAGCGGGAGCAGTACCTTAGCAGCTCTTCATGCATTTCCCCCTTACTCCCACACAAAGCAGAAATGGACAGCATATATCACTGGGTTTGGTGATAAACGATGTTTTTTTTTAAAAGCCATATATTAAAACTAGGAAGACACAGAATGAAAATCTATATGAATTAATTTACAGTATGGCAGAAATTCTTACTTTAACCAATATTTAAGTGATCTTATTACTGCACTCATATGGACTGTTGAAATCTTTCTTTTGGAGGAGCATCAGACAAAAGCATAACCTGTATGCTCCAAAAAGATTGATTAAAAATATAAAATAAAAGAGTACTGTTTTTAAGTCAAAAAAAATCTTCCTCCAAACTTCTTATTCAAGTATTATTCTTCTCTGCCAAATTTCACCATTTCAAAATGTTCAAAAAAGAGCTACTAATAATGGCTAAACACCTCATTTCTTCATGCCCCCAGTTTCAACAACAAAAAATTGCCAGGATGACTGTGCTTAGACATGAGAGACAGTTACAATATGAATATATATGACTATTTCCAACAGCATCTCATTTGACTGGTACTTTGATAAAGAAAAAAGTTAGAGTCTTTTTAAAACAGCAAAGCAAAACAAACACAGTGCATAAAAGCCAGTGCCTAAAAGGATCTTAAAAGGTTTTGACTGTTTAGCTTGGTTGCATTATGAGTTGGAATAAGTTGTTTGCTGAACTCAATACTTTTTAATACAACCCCAGCCTGTGTGCTTTCTGCTCCACATTTTGCTATTTGGAGCCATCAATAATCATTTAAGAGGCATATCTTGTTTTTTGGAATATTTATGACTGATGATTCTAAATGAAGATGCACTAAGTTCAAACAATAAAGTTTAATATTCATAAACTTGGTATAGCAAATCAAATCTAGAACAAAAAGCAGCTAGAATAGTAAACACGCATACGAATTAATATGTCCAATTATGGTCATCAGATATCTCACGAATTTGAAGTGCTTGGATAGAAGCCCATTTCTAGCAAACCTGTTTGACAAGTTCTCTCCCAAGAGAAAGCTGGCTGCCTCTCTAGCCCACATTCCTGAGCTTGCCAGCAAGCATGTTACAGGAGACAGTGTCAAAAGCTTTTTTTGAAGCCAAGGTAGAAAACATCCGCTGCTCTCCCCTCATCTACCCACCTAGTCACTCCTTCATAGGAGGCTATCAGGTTGGATATCCATGCTTACTAATCACCTTGTGCTTGGAGATGGTATCCAGACAGAGCTGCTCCAGCACCTCTCCAGGCACTGGGTAAGGCCGACTGGCCTGCAACTTCCTGGGTCCTCTTCTCGCCCTTTTTAAGATTGGAGTGACATTTGCTGTCAGAAGAAAGTCAGTCATTTGCCATCAGGCACCTCTCCTGATCTCCACAACTTGCAAAGACAATCAAGAGTGGCCATGTATTAACACCAGCTCCCTCAGCAGATCCCATCAGGGCTCATGGACTTGTGCCTGTCAAATTTGCCTAAGTGATCCCTAACCTGATCCTCCTCCCCCAAAGGAGGGTCCTTTTTTCTTCAGGCTTTCTCCCTGGCTCCCCAGGGCCTAGGATTCCTGCAGACCAGCCTTACTGTGAAGACTGAGGCAAAGAAGGCATCTAGTATCTCAGCTTTTCCTGTAACCTTTGTCACCAGGGCCCATGCCCCGTTTACCAGCAGACCCACATTTCACCTAGCTCCTTTTGATACTTCTACAATTCTATGAAAACAAAGATTGAAGCCTAAAAATAAGGTGAATCTCATTTGCCATATTGTTTGCCCAATGAAAAAAGTTGTTTTTTTTTTGCTGCTTTCTGCAATTTGAATTTAAGAGTAGACTTATAACAAAGATAATCTAAGGCTATGAGGTAGACCAGGATTTCCAGGATCTTTGGAAAATGTTTGTATTGAGAGAAATATTACTTTAAATTGTTTACACATTGCTAGGTTTTCAACTTCATAGAATCATAGAATCATAGAATGCTTAGGGTTGGAAGGGACCTCTAGAGATCATCTAGTCCAACCCCCCTGCATACGCAGGGTCACCTAGAGCACGTGGCACAGGACTGTGTCCAAGCGGGTTTTGAAGATCTCCAGAGAAGGAGACTCCACAACCTCTCTGGGCAGCCTGTTCCAGTGCTCTGTCACCCTCACTGTTAAGAAATGTTTCCTTAAGTTCCTATGGAATTTTTGGTGTTTCAGTTTCCGGCCATTTCCTCTAGTCCTATCAGTGGCCAGCACTGAAAAGAGACCATCCCCGTCCTCTGCACTCCCTCCCTTGAGGTACTTATAGACACTGATCAGGTCCCCTCTCAGCCAGAAGGAGAGAGCCTTCTCCAGGCTGAACAGGCCCAGCTCCCTCAGCCTCTCCTCATAGGGCAGATGTTCCAGGCCCCTGATCATCCTTGTGGGTATTTTAATACTTAAACAAGTGAGAAGTGATTAGAAAGCACTTACTTTTATTGTAGCATGTTGCTAGCACACCTTTATCTGCAGGACTGGTACTAAGGTGCCAAATTTCACCCACTTGATGAAGGAGAACATTTTTATTTATAATGTTATTTTCATCATCAAAATCTATGATGTGAATCTGCAAATAAAATAAAACAGAACATTAGGGCTTCAAATGTTTTCCTGTGGGTCTTAATTATACACAGTGATTGCACAGAACAATTTAATGAGAATTTTATAACTCATATCTACCTTAATTAATTGTTATACTAACAATTTAGTGTAACATTAATTTCATGCAGGATATGTTTCTCCAGAAAAACAATTTCCATATTTCAAGGATATACTCTTCTCAATGTTGCAACTTAAAAGTTTGAAAGTAATTTTCATATCACAGTTAAAAGTAAACAAACTACTTCCATTAGTTTAATTTAATACTTCTCACACTAGTTTTAAATACCTGCATCAATTTGACATCCAAATTATCAAATTTAAACATTCTCAAAGAGCTGGGATGGGAAAGAACTGTTATCTGAAGCTAAGATAGCTTATTAAGAGCCGATTTGAGTGCTTCTGTCTATACAGAGCATTTAGTCATTCCATCATTAAACCTCAATTTCTAACTGCTCCTCTTCTATTTCTATTGAAAGACATCATCTATGCAGCCTTCTCCTGTGTTTTTTTGTTGTTAAAATACTACATTCAATGTTTTGATAATTCCAATGAATAAACTTATAAATGAAACTGTTGACAAAAATAGCTTTTGAAGACCTCAGTATTAAAAGGTAAGGAATAACAATATATAACAACATATACTACAGCTACAACCTATAAGAAGACAGAAATACTTATATTTGGCTTTTGCATCTCAGATGCAGCAGATCACCAAAATTTCCTGAATCGGGAATGCTTGGGTATATTAAGAAGGAATGTGGAAGTGCAGAGATGTGTCTTGGTAGAAGAGAATTTGGACTTAAAACTGCATTAGTTCTCCATACAGGGCACAACTGGCCCTTCCTGACTGCATAATTTGCTTGTTATTAGCTATCTGAAAAATAAAAGGAAAAAGAAAACCCTCCCATGGAGTTACCTATTCTCCTTGGCATCTGTACCAAAGTCCCTAAAGGTGAATCACAAATCAAAATTCCATTTGCTGCAGTAACACATACCTTGGTTAGTGGGAGCACAAAATAAAGAGGGTCATTCAATACGTAAATTGAAAGAATACCCTCAACTCCACCTAAAGTCCCTGGAAGTCACAGGTAACCAGTTTCTGCTCCACTGTGATGCTTGTTTCAAGTGACATCGCCACTAGCTGGAAGTTTGGCAATGTTCAAACAGGATTTTCTTAAATCATGTCTTCGCAGGCTGAAGAAACCAGATACCAAATTGGCAAATACCAAGTACTACACATTGCTTCAGCATTTGGGAGATTAATGACACTAAATCATATTAAGATTTTTCTTCCTTCACTTCGAAATAAAAGTGTTAATAAGAAAAGTTTCACTATGTCTTCTACAGAAAGCCTAAATCACTTCCTACAGAAATATTCCTTGATAAAGGAGGCTTTGCAGGTGATGGGGCTGCATGCAGGGCAGTACCCTATCAAGTAGGAGAGGCAGCAGCTCAGCTCACAAAACTGCTCTGGAAATAAAGTTTTAAGGAAATCTAGACAATCTACTACTGAATTAAACAGTGAGGATTTAAGGCCTAGGGCACTTCATGGGGATTAGCAACTGGCTGCAAGGCATTGGCAGCCTGAGGCACAGCTCAAGGCCAATACCTCCCAAATTCAACCTACCACCCCAGGAAGTTTCCTGCGTGTCTATTATTAATAATATTCACAGGGTGGGGGAAGGAAAATTTAAAAAAAAGGCAGCAAGAATGCCTGATAAAGTTGAAATATGTACATGCAGAGGCATTGCTAAAATTAGGAATTTACGCTTACCTGAATGAGTCCATTTAAATTATTTAATACCTCCTGGATATCAGCCAAGAAGCTAGAACCAGTCTTCAATTGCTATTTTGGATCAGGATTTAATTATTAGCAAAACTAAGAAATAAAGATGGCTGGGACTTTTTGGCTGGTTATAAAGTATTCTTCTACTGGTTGAATACACAGTATAATGCCTGATGCCCATCTGACCTAATCCGAACAAAAACTCTACAGTGTGTATTCATTTTTAACCAAATTTATCCTGTCAACTCTTTGTCTCACAAGTATTACCTGAAATAAAAAGGAACTCTGACATAGTCCTTATGCCTTTGAATTGTTAGAAATTGAGTACCACACAGCATTACCTCTGAGCATCAAACTCAAAACCTCAGCATGATAAACAGACAGCCCACATTTCCCCAAGATACAGTCCCAAGATCTTCTTGTAAAATCAATTACAAACCAGTTTCAAAGGAGTGAGCATCTGTATTCATTCTGTGAGCTTCCTAATTATTCAGGTCAAGCCCACTCTTCAGTACAAAGCCATTTGTTGAATTTTAGTCAGAACAATTATGGTAGTTTTTTTATATAGATAACTAACTATAGCTACAGACAAAACAGCCCAGCAGAACCATGAAAGTCTCCCACTTATCCCTAGTTTAAATTGTTGCTAAATTTATGATCAGAAAAACACACAGATGATTGCTAATAATTAAAACCAAAAAATCCAGTTTATGAGGCTTCATGTATGCAGAACAATACGCACAACAGGAGTCCCATCAAAGTCAATCAGGGTTCAAATCTAAAGAATTTTATTTTACTCCCAATCTCTTCTGAGGTTTAAAGATAGCTCCAGGCAATCCAAAGATGTAAATTAACAATAAAAAAGGAGGGTTTTTTTTTTTTTTTTACTAGCAACCAATCTGAATCAGTCATTCAATTTAGAAGAATTTAAATTTAATTTTCCCAAAATACGCATAACTTCATTCACCCATACTTAGTAACACCTCTATACTTTGCTCACAAAAATCATTAACTGAACTACCACTGCTATTCAAACTGGGTAGGTGCAGGAAAGAAAACAAAGTTTCATTATAATGCTATTAAATACAGAAAAGAAGAAAAAACACAATGGATATTGGACAAAAAGTTACCTGATTATCATATCTAAGAGACTGTGTCCCAACCAAAAATCTTATTGCATCTGTTTCTGCCGTCTGAGGGGTTAGAGTTCGTGCCTAGGGAAAAGAAAGCATTAGAAAAGTGTAATTAAGACAAGCCATTAATCTCTGCCAAAATCTTGACGCTTATGAATCAATTATCATGTCAAGCATCACATCCTTAAAGCTTTTAAACATTTCCTGCCCTTTATGTTTTGATGCTGCTCAATAAAGGGTTACTTTGTGTGTGCGCAGTTTCTCACATTCGCGGGGTGCACACAGGGTACAATTGCCAAACACATTAACTGTCCTCTGTTACTTGACTGATATTATCCCATATGAAAGCAGTTCTTCCTAATTAATTACAGTAGATGAAGGAAAAAAAGGAAAAAATGTCACTAGAGCAGCAACTCAATTCTTAAATATATTTGCTGCAATATCAGAGAGGGTATTCTTCCAGTTTTTTTCAAAAAAATTCAGACTTATGGCATCTGCATAAGAATAAAAGCATTCTTTTGCTTGCAATTGATAGCAAACACTATCATAGTGAACAGAGATAGTTAACACTCAGCTGTCAGTAAAAAATTAACAGTAAAGGTTTGGAAGAGAACTGAAAGACATCCTTCCTGCTTTTCAACCCTAGACCACCAGAGATGAGAACTGCCTGAACAACAGAATTATTTATTTTACAACATTTTAACATAATCCTTTAGGTTTTCATCTAATCACTGTTAAAGGGAATTCAGGCCTTCCCTTTGTTTTTTCAGGCTGTATGGTAAAGGAGCAAACCAAAGGTTTGCTGGTAAAGGAGCAAACCAAAGCAGTACAGGACGTGCTGTACATGGAAAGCATTGAGAAGTAAACTAGAGATTGAACTAAACCTGTAAATGCTGCTTGGCATTAGTTACTTGCCGAGACTCTTACCTCTCATTCACACAAAGTACAAAAAAGGGCGGGGGGGGGCTGGAAAGGGGCTGGGATTTAAGCAACACCATAACTGACAAAAAGGAAGAGCCTGCTTTCCGGGCAAAAACAAGCAAACAAAACTATGTTTCTCAATATGAATTTTCTGTCATAGCTGACAAAACCTTGAAATTCACACTGTATTTATCCCGAGACAGTTCAGAACAGCTCAGGCACACGGCAAAGTCTGTAGTTTTAATAAATGCTTTAGAAGGATGCAGGTAAGTTGGTAAAACAGCCCTCCCTACAGCCCTTTGCTTTGCAGTTAACTGATGATTCAGTAATACCCGGCTTTGAGACAGTCCTATTTGCATCTTAAAGCAATACAAACAGATGCCTATAAGCTTAGAAAGACTTACTTCAAGTTTGTTATATTCAAATGCATAAATACAGAATAACAGATTAATTTTAGAACAGCTCCTTCAAAAGATCTGTTTTTTTTTTTTTTCCCCCTCTCTCCTTTAAAAAGGCAAAACAATCCAAACATCTATCTGGCAGTAACAATAAGAGCCACCTCATTGCTCAGAACGAGCTCTGAACTCCTAATGAACAAATAGATGCTTCAGCTGTAAAACAAGAGGTAATTTAGACCGAACTTAAGCTATATTTTACTAAAGATTTAGCACTACAGCCTCATTGACCTTCTAATGTAACAGGTGTAAGCCTGTACTGCAACTGTTATACAGCTTAAGCCCTAGAGACTATTTCAGGGATTAGTTTGTGTTCAGCTGGGTACTGAAGTGTCAATCAGACCAGTGTGAATCTGCACTGCTTTAGCTGCACTCCCTTTACACAGCACTTGGAACAAGTGAAACCACATCTCTGACAGACAGAAAGAACCAAAGCTCACAGAGATCACCAAAAACTTTTGCTTTAAGTTAAACGAACAACTTGCTTTTGCAGATCTTCAGTAAGAGCTCCTTTTCATTTCAAACTATTCAACTATTTTGAAGAAAATGCTAAAAATATGTCAATAGCTTTGCATCTCTTTCAAGCAAGGAAGGGCGAGTGCTCATAACGCATCATCTGGTCCCAAGTTAACCCAAGATCTCCTCCCAAGCTGCAGTGGCTTCAATAGCAAAAGTGCAAGAATGAATTTGGAACAAACCTTGTACCTCTTTACCGCAGAAGAAAAGTAAAACTTATTCCCAAAGTGGAAAAGACCACCATCACCTTGGAGGAAGGGAAATCAAAAGAAGAGAGGCATAATTTGTAATAAACCACTTAAAGCTGAGTGGAGTAGATTTGTCTGTGAAAGGAAACAAGAACCTTCAATAATTTGCTAGTCTCCCGCACAGCTGGAAAGGCAGCATGCGCATTTCCCACTGGAGATGGAACACAACCTCCCCCCTCTGTGAACATGTATGTGTTGAAGTCACACAGAAAATATTTTATGATACTGTCACAGAAACTGTAGTGTGCACACACGTAACTGAACACAAACATTGCCCATTCCATTACCAGGAGAAAAGTCTTTCCTTTACCTTCTCAGTGGAATCTGTGCCTCAATACCGAGTAATATACTGACCCACATCCCAAAGGGAACCTCACACTCCAGAACTGCTGAAGAGCCAGGTAACTAAGAAGTCTGCAGTTAAACATGGGGATTAACAGGCTCCTCCTGGGCTGCATGGATCGATACCTCGGCAAACACAAAGGTGCTGGTGTAGAAATGAAACCGATATTGCCTACAAAGAACTGGCTACCTGTTTGCAGTAACACTTGTGAGAGTCATGGAAGGAAGACGGAACTAGAGGCCAAGAAACAGTCACACACCTTCAGGAATCAGATTTTATGCTAAGAGGACTTTGAGCGAAGGACCCTGCTAAAGGAGGCAGCCAAATCGCCTGATGAAGATGGAATGAATCTCACTTGAGATGGAATCAGAGATGTGTGTTTGCAGAAAGAAAATCCTACTGTTTCCTAGATGAAGCTTGAACTTCCAGGGAAACGCACACACACACACGCACACTTAGTCGAAGGCTGGAAAGATCCAACAATCCCACAAAAAAATGTGATGGAAGCAAAGAAGGAAGGTGAACAAAAACCAAAACAAACAAACAAAACCCCA